CAACTGGACAAATTTCCGGAGCGTGTCGGTCTGTGGGAATGCCATAGCGTGGGTTATCATATTTGAATCGAATGTTTTAGACTAGGTCTCCTGGAGATTTTGAACAGAGTCTGCTCTCGAACAGTCATTCGGACTATTCGTTCGAAAGTCTCCTAATCACAACGCAATGCAGTGATGGGAAGCACTTTTTATTTAATGATGATTCACTGTTTCAATACACAATACTTCATTTACCTTTGCGGCATTTTATAGGATAGTCAGCGTGCCGAACCTTAGTCCTCCATGCCCTGGCAGTAGTGTTGCAGCTGGTCTACGATTGGTTACTGGCCAGACTCGTGAGCTCCCTATTTTGCAGATGATTTTCACTAAAAGCATTCTACTATCCATCGCCCGTGAAAGTTTAGGGTGGCCAGCAGCTAGGATGACGGGTAACTCGTCGCCTCGTACCTTAAAAGCAATTTGCAAGGTATAACTCCAAGATTTGTCATAATCTTGCGATCTTGTTTCTATTGGTGTTTCGTTTTTTTACTCACGAATTCAAATTCATTTGAGCATATGGATTAAGGAGACCCTGGCGCTCATAATACTTTAGCTTAATTAGATTATGTACACGTAGCGTATGTTTGGGAAGTTGTGTATACACAACTTCATTATAATAAAGGAATACAGAGCACTTCAATAGTAAGCATTTGAACACTAGCATCACTTGGGTGCAGTGAAGAGTAAAGCAATTGGCAGATATAAAAATTGCAGGAAAAAATATGTATTAAATATAAATCGCAATCGACATACTTTTTTAATGTACAGATAGCTACTTGGCCCAACTGGGCCACGTTAAACAGTAGCGGAGACGCTGCAAAGCGTATTCATTTTTTAGAGTTTCTTCTTGTAACTTTAAAAATGTAGCAAATCCTTTGCCCAGGAAAAGGTCATTGGGTATGGAATCCAAGTGGGCCAACTGTTTACGAATATATTTGACCATTGTCTCAAGCTGCACTGCCGAAATCGAGGAAGATGCGTGGAAGAAATTCCTCCAAAGTGCTGCGGAAAGAGCGGCATCAGAGTTTTTGAGAAAGGCCTCATCATACGCGAACAGTGAACCAAAGAACTGCATGTTGAATTGCTCGACATGGTCATGCTGCTTTCGAATTATTCCGAAGCCACGCATCCGCCCTTTAAGATCGATCCAAATTAACTAAAAGTCAGCTTCAAATTATAAAGGTACCCTGATGAAGGATTGCTTCAAGATTCTTCCCTCCTGGCCTTCTCGGCGCAAACGCACCAAGCACATCCAGATATGAAGAGTCATTAAAGAGAACCAAGACTGAAATGTATCTGGTAGGTCCACCTTAGTAACAAACTCCTTAAAATCCGGATATTCGGCACAGATCGCAAACATGTTCTCACCAGATGCATGCAACTGCACAGATGAATATCGGAGACCGTATCCAAACCGATGTTTAAGTGACTCAATAATGCCAGGCGGTGTCTGCGGAATGCTATCCGGTGGGAGGCCAGCTGTATGCCGAGGCGCAGTCGACATACAGACAGATGATAATCTGAGAACTGAACGCCATTTCAGCATGCGTAACATAATCCAGTCTACAAAATGCAACGACCGCAAGCCAAGCCCACACGCCCGCAACTTCAAGGTCGGTCAACTAAAAAAGTTAGTAAGTTCAAACATGCGAACTTGTGTATACAACTACGAATGAATTATGCAGAAGCCAAGGATAGTCAGCTATTCTAAATACCACTCAACTAATATATCTATAATGTTAGTTTGTCTATTTCCTCACAAAATCCTGTCCCTACATTCTAGCATTGGGAGCCAATCTTTTGAATTAAGGAGGATTAAAATTAACCACAGAAGTGATCAACAGGACACAGCGAACGTTTTTGTCTGACTCTAGAACGTTTACCGTTCGTTTAAGTCTTTTCCTTCAACATATTGTCGGAAAAAACTTTTTATAGTAGGACTTCCTTTTAGTTTTAATGATAAATTAGTTTCATTTTACCGTACACGTGTGTGTAAATAGGTTTCACATTGAGCGCACCAATTTAAGAACCACCTAAGGTTATGCTCCGGAAGACTACTGAATACTGGCTGTGTTTATTCTACTTTCCTAATGGATAGGTTTAAAATGGAAATTATTCATCCTTGCACAGGAAAACAGTCAACAGATACTTTTTTGGTAGGGCTTTATTGTGAGCCGCCTGATGGAAATATGCTTCCTTTATTAACCACTTAGCCACAGAATGGTCGGGTTGCTTTACTAGATTCATTGCCGTAGATGTTCCTTTTGTTAACAATAAATTTGCTGCAGTAGATTTTTTGTTTTTTAACCTCCAGTAAATGTTCGTCATTATCAAAGTTAGTATAAATAGCGTGTCATGTCAGTCCATTGCATTGGGAAGAAAATGTTTGTTATTTTTATCCATCCGATTTTCGCAGTCAACTTCAAATGTTCTGACAATAATATAGAAGTTCAATATGAAAAGAAAGAAGATT